TATTACTCTGTAGTCACATGCAGTAATGAAATCTGTAGCCAATGTTTTTTTTTCTTTTTTTCTTTTTTTTCTTTTCAAACTGTATTTATTCATTCTTCCACTATTTGAAGCCGACCTTTTGTCATGTGTCTCCATGGTTACAAGTGTCTACAGTATGTACCGTACTACAATATCTGCTCAGCTTATTTACCTCAACATCTGTGAACACTATATTTATAGTTCTTGCCATGTTTTTGTTACACCGGATTCTGGTGATATATACATGTATTGTATATCAGCGCCTTGTAAATGGCTTTGAGAATAAGAGATCTTATTTTCATTTTTAATTTTACTAAACAAATTAACTCAAGTTTCATGAACTGAACGTGTTTACAAGAGTTGTCTGTCTGTTGGTTGAAGTAGCCACGAGTTACATAGAATGAATACTTCACCGTAATTGGAATGTAAATCAAGTCTAGACACACTCTATTACGACTAATAGTAATAATTCGGTAAAATTTAATTAAAATACTAGACGTTTGTAATTGTATTCATATTACAAACTAAGTAATATAAATTAAACAACTTGGTTTATTAAATCAATAACAACTTGGTTTAGAAAACAATAGCAATATTTTAAGGTTGTCTTGTTTATGGCATGAAGAACATAATAGGGAAATAATAGTGATAGTTTTAAATCCGTTAATTCTTAAACATCAACAGGTTTGGAAACATCTTGTTGTCTCCTCCTGGTGCTATCTCAGGACTTGAGTTCCACCCGCCGGCTGGTTACCACATAAACATGGTCCTACAAAAAATAACCTCGTGGCATTATTAAAGTGTTTATCAAGTTGAAATAAACTGTAAACTATTCACAAAGATCCAAACTATGCCCTGGAGGACCTCAAACTTTCTTAATTGTTTCTTTAAGTATTTATACCAAAAAATTGTGAAAATCCGTAAATTAAACTTTCTCACGTGTGATTTTAGCTTCTAATAGTTAAACATCAATCCATCCCCATCCATTGCAATCTCTGATATGTTAAGAGCACAAAAAGCACACAATCATTGGAAACAAATTACTGTAGTTTTAAAGTGTTGAGAGCTTGTACCGCAGAGGCATGTTTAGAAACATTAGCATAGTTAGCCGCCATCTTGAATTGACCGGGTAGAACCCTCTTAAAAGGAGGAAATCTAATACCAATAATAAGGCTTTTACATATCCCACTCCTTAATATGTTTCTATCACCGAACATTAAAAAGCATATAGCGTTTGTTGACACCTATCACATAACAACTTGCTGTAAATACTAAATGCTACTTCTTCTTTTTTTATATCGAAAAAGAGTTAACAAAAATCCATAACAAACTATTATTCAACAATAATTAATGCTAATAATTCGTGTATGGGTGGTATGATATGCCATAAAGGGGTTGTAATGCTTTGTAAAATCTTAATTTGAAAATACCCCGCAGCAGCAAACCTGCTAACTAAGAAAATTACCATTTGCTGATTTTCACTCAAATATTTCCTTTAAGTTAGGTATAAGTTACAATAATGTTTTATTTTTGACTTGTCAGTATACTGTTTGGCTTTCGTTAGGTTCTTTACTTTTTAAACATTTAAAATTAAAAAAAAATATCTTACTCATTGACAAAAAATAATCGTATCTAAACAAATAAAAGGTTTATTATACACACTACATGTAGGCCTATTATTTCTCTGTGAGATTAGTACACACATATATTTGGTCCATACACCTTTACCTCAACAATTTTCGTCAGTATATTTTCAAACCATAACCTTAAATGTCCGATTTCAATTAAACACGTGAACAAAATTTTTCGTGTTTATATTCTGAATGCAATATGTAGATATTTTCTATCAAGATGAGTATTAACTTGTTATAATTATTAGACTATTGATATTTTTATCGTAAACAATTCTTCTGCTAATAATTCTGGTACACATTATTTTGTAATCAAATACTAGAGAAAGGAGTATCAGGAAATATATTTTCACCAAGTTCAATGTTGATAGGTTGTAGTAACCAGTATAATTCGTCTGTTAAACAATTTCTGTACAATGATACTGTATTTAGTTTTGTCGACTCTAGTGCCTACATTGTATAAATACTGCAGGGCACACATTTAAGTATTGCGCGCTGTATCTTATCATTGCAGGGGAAGAGAAATCGTGTTGCAGGTTGATACACTGTTTTAACACAAACCTGTTTTGAATATGAATAAAATAAATTGATTTCATGAAATTCATGGAGGTTCAAGTATCAGCATAAATATTCAGTACAATGTATTTATATCTGTCAAAAAAAATGTTTTGTACTTTGTAACAAACAAGGTTTTTTATCAGTATAGTTGTACACCAGTATTGTTCATCTTGAAAAGTAAAGTTGTCAAAGACAATAAAAGCGGGTGGGATATTTACATTATGGAAGGTAAATAAAGATACGTCTTAAAACACTTAAAACATATATTTACGCTTATACTGTTACTCACAAGACGGTAAATATACAAAAGATGGTAAGTGGTGATCGATTTTGATTGGACACTCCAATCATCATCAGACCCAATAGGCGAATCTATTCGACTACAAAAAGAATTTACAAAATGTTATGTTTCGGTGTAATAGATTGGCAAACCCCTATGTTTAACCCATAAAACCCCATTTCCATAGTTTAATAATGCTGGTTCGCAAACTCGTTCGAATATACTACATACAAGGGAATATACAAGGGGGGGGGGGTTTACCTTTTAGAATATATATCGATTCCCTTGTCTTTGTCTTTAAATATCCTTAAGTTTACACCTTACTACCGAATTTCATCTAGATCGGATAACTTTTACACTTTTATCGTGTAAATGGACATATATGTATGCATGATTTTGAACGGATGGTGTTTTGGCTTCTGGGTACATTAAAACCAAAAAGCAAATCGGTCTCGCGTCCGATTAACAGCAAAATTAGCAGCTTTAACATGATAGGTAATTGTAACTCATATCTTGAGTGTATTGGCTAACGAACAGAGAACTAAATTAATATATTTTTGTTTTGGGGTTTCTGACACATTTTAAATGGATGGATTCCAATCAAAGTTTAAATGGATTAGTATTTACCTTCTTCTTATTTCAGACCCAACGTTCAGACCACAGATAGTAGATCTCTGAATATTTCTTTGCATTCAATTACTGCAATTTGTGTATTAAATTAAACCATGGTAAATAAAGGACGCGATTAGTCTAATGATTAGAACGTGATACTTCAGTCCTATATAGTGTTCAAATCCCGCAGATACCAATATTTATTTATGAATGTAAATATGTCGTTAGCCGGTGATTTGAATCCCATTAAACTGTAACTCGGCTTACATAGAAAACAAGTGTACGGTTTCATCATACTATCACACACTTTCTTCCTTTAGTTTGTCAATAATACTTATAAGCGGTGGGAGTTACTAAATGTGATATTTTATGGGTAAAACCACAAAAATCATTTCTGAGCCGTAATGGGGGTTGTTGAATTTTGTTTACAGTTAAAAGGTCCATAACGTGCATCATTTAAATCAAAATCGTTAGAAGCATTTAAGTAAACATTCTATTTTTCTATTATTTTATGGGTTTTATGTGAAAATCACTGTTAAAAAAAATTCCAAAAATTAAAAATACCTAGATATGCCATGGGTACCACATACCAAATTTCATCAAAATAGGACCACAAAGTGTAGTCTGAGTCTGTAACTTGGGGCTATGGTTTCTCCACTATTGTAAGAGTCAGTATTTTACTTCTAGACGCGCGGGTAATATAAATAACAAGACAGAGTCCACTGGATGATTTTATGTTTCAATCTACCTGTACTACTAAACCTAACCGTCTAAAAAAGTTTCAACTTCAAAATCGATACTAAAAAAATCGATTTGCTAATGCAAGAATGAATAATTAAAAATCCCGTTTTTACACATTCTACCAATAATATGTATTCAGTTAGATTTTCTCAATACCATCACCCGTTAGTCGTTTGCTTCATATACTAAATTATTATTATACATCGATGACTATATGTACCACCATGGTACCATACATGAACGTCGGTACAGAGTTTGGTAAAGTTCAAGGACATTCAAACGAAATATGTAAACGCAACTCAGGATTTGCATAAATTACCCACAAAGAGATTGTTTGTATCTTTTTATACCTCATCCCCATAAGAAGTTTGATACTAAAGAACGTTGTGGCCGTGCTTTGCTCAGGGTAAAATGTTTCCGGGCTTTTCTACCTGAAAATTTTTCCATTGTTAGAATTAATAGTAAAACACATTCCTTGGGAAATAATATTGATAAATCTTCATAATAAAGATGACAAAACTCAAAGACTATAAATGACTCATGGTTCCACAGTACAAATCTTTATTATTTAAATATTTTCAACATCGCAAATTAGTTATTAGTTTTTAACTCGATGGTATATTATTTTTTGCTTCAGTTGTCATAGATTTTTTAATACAGCCCTAATTTAATTAATTCAAGATCGATGTTTGCCCCTGATAAAATGGGATACGCTTAAATAATTATTTGTCATCAATACCCATGTGTTTACGTATATATTATGCTCTGTGCAGCACTATTTCTAGCTTTACTTGAAGTAGAAAAGCTAATAGTAATTTATTTTGTCACGTTTTTTGAAGAATTACTTTTCCCCAGCATTTACTTTAAATACTGTCTCATATGACTTTCAAGCCATGCAATTCAGTAATTCTCAGGCCAACCAATGCCAGGAAAAAACTATTTGAGTATTGAAAACTGCATGCTTCAATGAAGCAAAGAAGAAAGGCTAACTAATATTTCAGTGCGAAATTGTCTTGTCCCCCTAAATTTTGCACCTGGTTGGGGAACCCCCGATAAGCTTCATCTATGACGTGGGGTCCCCTGACTCAGCTGGCCCCCTTGCGTAAGGACCCCCCCCCCCACTTACGAGTCCCTCATTCTCCTCATTCGCTGATCCTCGTTCGTAAGATTCTTTCCCTCAGTCCGTGCCCGACGTTTCCCTACGCACGATCGAGATTGCAGACCGTCATCATGGCCACTGTAAGTACCCCTCCCACCGCCTCTGGGATTTACACAACAATTATGTATGCATTATTACTTGTTGCCAGCTTTGTTAGAAAACCCAGTAATGATCGACAATCTTCATTATATTTGACGTCAGCTGTACGTATAATGAAACTAGTGTTGATTTCCGTAACATCCACGCAAATTCACTTATTGTTACTTTTGTAAAATTCAACCTTTAAAAGTTTCGGATGGTTATTTCAGGCATATTCCGTTGAAACGTTACTTTATTGAAACACACTCTTTTTGTGTCGTAATTTTGTACTTGGTCGGTTTCGTTTTTTTTTTTCGTTTACGTGTAAACCTATCCAGTAAGTCAAATATTCAGTTTACACATTATGCTAATGTTTGTTTATACTATATTAAAAGTTTAAGGTAATTTTTACGACACGAGTGCTTTTAAAATACCTACCCAGTAATCTATTTCTGTTATTTATCTGCATGATGCTGTGTCACTTATGTTAATACTGTACTTAATTTTTGAAAGGCTTTTAGTTTTTCTCTAATTCATCAGTTGTTGCTCGCACGGCAAAATCAAGTTAATCCATGTTTTTGTCAAAACGTGTAAAAACTACGTACAAGACAACTGCAAATTTTCCCCACCATTTGTTTAAATTGATATTTACGTATTTATTTACGTGTCCGTAGACACTATAACTCTAAAAAACCTAAATAGTTTAATGCAATTTGAATCAAAAGTGAACATAACAATCAATTTGAATGAGCGCGCGAACGAGTTCGGTCCTATCAGTTGAAGAAGGCTCTTTGAACACCTCTTACGGAGGAAAACTTTTAATTCTAATAAATTCAATATAAACATCCTTAATACGTTCAATGACATTTGACAACGTGCTTCTTGTTAGAAATCAGAATACAAATAATACTTAAACCAATTATTATGAATTGTGCTACAAGAACCGACCGCTTTACAATGTAAATTAATTATGAGATACAAATCATAGTTATCATGAAATTATTTACATTTTTAGGGGATTCTTCAGTACAATCTATGTAGAATTGAAGATTCCCGTCAATTTAAATCTTGGAATTCCAACAAAAATCAATACTATTTTAAGGGGTTTTGTGGCTGGAATCATTTTTTAAGGAGTTGAGCTTCTTTTGGTGAATTTCCCTATAGGTTAGTAGCTATTACAGTAGGTGGAACGATAAGAACTAGGCCCGGGACCGATTTACTTTTTCATTTTGATGTCCCCAGATGCCAAAAACACCATTCGTTCAAATTTTTATATATGTATATATAAATGTGTCCGTGAACGGTAACTTGAGAAATATTTTTCTGATTTTGATGAAAATTGGTTTAAAGGTGGGGTAAACTTGAATGAGTTCGTGAACCAGCATGATCGGATCATGGGAATGGGGTTTTAAGGGGGGTTTTATGGGGTGAAAATTGGGTTTTCTCTTTTTTGAGCCTCAAAACACAAAAATTTCCCAATTCCTCTCTAAACCTTTTTAAAGAGCTAAAGAACAAATAATTTTGTTTAAGAAATTGTTTTTGTACGGTTTTTGGTAACAGATAAAATAAAAAAAAATTTTAAATTTAATATTCCCATATTATTTTTTTGGAGAATATTAAAACGTTATAGTTTGCTTGTTTATGGAAATATTTTGATCAAACTTGACAAATTTATTTATTTTATACTAAGCTATTAATATTTTACAAAAAACAAACTTTACTAGTTTCCTTGTAGCAGCAAACCTAGGTACTCGTTAAACCTAATGTTATAAATAGATTTCATTGAAAATCAATTTTTGATTTACTAATCTTTAACTCTGTTCTAGGTCTCTTCTCGCTTAAAGTCTGTATGTAATTCCAATTCCGAAAAATTGTGAAACTGGTGTTTTACCAATCAGTTATGAACGTCCAAAATAATAAACTTCACTGATAAAGCTACTGTTTCAAACTATGATCAACTATTAGGGGAGCGAGCTGGTGTAGTGGTTAGAGCGCGGGACTTCAGACCCTGGGGTCCCGGGTTCAAATCCCGCCAAATCACCAATGAATTTTAAGTGATAATGCCGCAACCCATAGGTCTAGCCTGAAGTAATGTGAAAAACAATCCCGGGCCTATGCCTAACGTCCTAGGACAAAAACAGATAAACTTTTAGGAGCGTATGAATCGTTGTGAGTTGTATATGTCGAACAAAACTATATTCCTTTCGGGTATTCGTTAGGTTTTTATTGGGCTGGAACATTCTCATGCAAGTATAATAATTTTGTATTTTGTCTGATTTTAGATAGAATTAATAAACTCCTAGTCCTTTAACAAAAAATAACTTTTTGATCATTGCGTACATGTTATTGAATTTACAGAAAGTAAAAAATATGTCTAATTAGAATCTTGAAACATGTATTTACACTTACACTGTTAACTCACAATACGATGAAGACATAGAAAAGTACCAATATATAAAAGAATCGACGTATTTTTATTTACTTTATGTTCTATAATAGAAAGCATGATACTATTGAAACGTAACAGGTATATAATTTGAAAACTACTTTACCAGCAGGATATTGTTTGTGTTGTCAAACTAAATTAAAGATGAACTATAGTACAAATCAAATATTTAATCACCATATATTTAGGCAGTATAATAGACGAGATATTATATTATACTTAATTTTTCATAGTTAAGACTAATATCCTTTATTTCCATACTTCAAAGATAAAGTATAAAGAACACCAATCCGTACAGAATGTGTAAAATAGGAATAACATAATAACAGAAACTAAATAACTGGCTGGTAATGTGTCACACAGAAAGTATAGTGAAACTTTGATCGTTCTGCATCAATTACTGTATTGCAATAATAAAAGTACAGTTAGAAATAAAATTTACAGTTGGCCTGGTGCTTTCAATTGTGAAAGTTTGTTCTGCCAATTAGTATCTATAGTTTTTTTATTGAACTGGAGGGAATTGTTATCTTATTAGCATTAGAACTGTATCGAACTTTATTTGTAACTTTATGCAGCAAAATAATATTTATAACTGTATGGATTCGTTCTAGAAACCTTTAAACGTGATGTATTTTCAAAAATGCTGTTGCGATATGAGTGAATTGAATTATCAAATGCATTAAAACTGAGGAATACCAATACAGCAATTCTGGGTACTTAACTAATCACTAGTTAAATTATTGCATATTGATTGTGCATTCACAATGAGAACGAATCTTAATATTGTAATACCTAGTAACAACTTAGGATACTGAATGATTAAGGTTCACTACAACGATGAAAACACAAAAACTTGATCCTTTGTTAAAACTAAATATCGATTACCAAACTATAAAATAAAGTTTATTAAAGTATTCACACAAAGAAATATACGTAATACTTATTTTAAAATATTGTTGATGAATTACAACAATTTATGGTTTTCATAAAAAATACTAAACCAATGTGAACTGTTTTAAATAAAACACTCTAGGTAAGTATCTAATGAAACTCATACTGAACGACAAAAATAATTTTAATGAATACCAACTCAATTTGATATCTAGAACCTAATGGTAAAATATTGAGGGCCAAAATTTGTAATACCTAATTATTACGGTAAACCCTCCCTTAACAGAAGGGGTTTCAATTTGGCAACCACCTCCTACGGTTTAAAGTTCGTAGAACGGTTAACTTGTACTTAAATAGACGCATTGTTTGACGATCTGAGCTTTGACTAACTAGAGTACTCAGTAGTTGCCGACAAACTATTTCCAAGCCACTTTTAGACTAGTTAAAATGTAAGTGCTATTGCTATTTTGAACTTATCAATACAGCAATATTAAAAAATATGGACCTAGTTTTGGGGTTTTGTATCTCGAAAAGTATAAATTGGAAACAAATAAGTTTTACACCGTTAGAAAGAGAAAATTACAACGTTTTATTTACACGGATGCTTAACGTGTCCCCCCTGTGCTCCACGGCAAACATCTAAGCGACAGCCAAATTCGTGCCAACCACCAGACAGCATCTCTTGTGTCACAAATTTCTTGAAATTGCCTAGAGCAACGAGTTATGCTTGTTCTAGTAGGTAGTTTATTACCGATTTCGATGTGAAAAGCCCGCTGCACTGTAAAAGGAGACTAAGTTTTTGCAAACTCTGTCACACAGAAAATCTTATGTTGCACAGTAGGCATCTAACTAACAACTGATGGTAAAACAAAATGGTTGCCCATTGTTGGGATAACTTTTTCGACCATTTACGGAACTATAATCAAATATCTTGGAATTTTTCTTTTTTTAATGTTGTAAAGTTTATTTCTGTCCGATTTACTCTTTTTGAGATTCAAAGTCATGAAGTAGTGTTCATATTTTTGAATAGCTCGCTGTATTATAGAAGGTTGTGTCATTTTATCTATACGAGTCTTATGACGTGTTAATCTTAATACAACCCACATAAATTTGTGCGAATTTCATGCCAGTGGGAAATAGAAATAAAAAATGCAAAAGTATCAAGAGAACGCGGGACCTAGGTTTTGGAGGCTCGAGATCAAACCCTAACAATCGAAATTATTGACTACCGAGTAGTAGTAGTAGGAGTTAGCTCAATGATAGTGCACTATGTGATTAAAGGAATCGTCCATGTTTCTTATTCAATAAATTATATGGCTACATGCATAAAAAATGTCAGAATTATTTTAACAGCTACTTATTATGCCAATAGTATTGTAAAAAAAGTTTAAAAAAGATTTGATAAAAGACTCCGAATTTCTTTAGGTACTCGTCTTCAATAGCATGTTTAGGAACTCTTTGTATTACAAAACAGGGAGGTGTTTGCTATTCACTCGGATTTCATACAACACTGTACCTATATCCACCAGCTATTATTGTTGTAAAATGTGAACAACTTACATTACTATATCTCTAAACAAAACTATCACAGAAATAAGCAGTGATTCCATAATTCGATCCATTAAGACAACAACTAAAGTGAATACTGTAATATTTATAGTTTAA